ACAGTGAGCAGCATAGTAGTGACCTCACCAAATCTCACTCTGAATCTGAGACTAGCAGTGAGAGGTAGTAGCAGTGCCTTAGATGATCTCACGCTGCAGTTGTAGAGCTAAGAGGCTCAAAGCACAAGAGTGCTGAGGTACAGGAACTACCATTTTTTTGTTTTTTAATTTCAATACTAGATAAACATTTTAAAGGATAAGTTCACCTTTGAGAACATGTTACATGTATGTGTGGTCCTCCCCCTCCCCTTGTTTTTAGGGTGGAACATGTAACATGTTACCATAGCTGCAGCTGCGCCCACCACCACCCCTCCCTCTGACAGATATTACAGGGAAATGTCTCCCTGTACTGTCAGATTTGAAAACAGCGTGGCCATGCAGGTCTGCACACACAGTCACGTCACCAAGTTCTGTGAATGAGTGCCTACAAGTTCCGGTAGCCTTAGCGGCTGTCGGCTTGCAGTTTTCAATGAACTACCACGTCACTATGAGCGCTGTGGTAGTTCATTGATTCTTCCTGTCAGAATATCTGCTTGCTCGTACATCCCATAGGGCAAGCAGATATTCTGACAGGTCTGCAGGAGCCCTGCATGGCACCAGTGATCTACTAATCACTGCTACAATGCTTTCCAGGCTCCTTTTTAAATAATAATGGCACATTTTTTTTGTTAGCTGCAAAAAAAGTGCATTTTTAATATTTTTGTCAAAAAGGTGAACTTTGCTCAGGCACAATTTAAAATTTAGATCTCATAGATGATTTTTTTTTTTTTTTTTTTTCCATTCACAAAGGTGAAGAAGAGAACAGAAATCCTACACTATGCCTAGAGGGAAATTTACTGAATATATCCCTTCTATTCTGTGCAACCCTATGGATTGAATTATGAATGGGACATGTCATATTTTTTATGATTTGGCTTGTATGACCTTTCCGGTTGTAAAGTTGATGTAGTACCCTATGATTAAGTGCATCTGCATGATGCAGATTTCCGGCTGTGCTAGTTTTCCACATGATATTCTAAATATATACAGTAAAAAAGCAGCTTGATGAATGTGGATTTCCATTACATGAACATTATTATTGTACAGTATTTATAAAGCGCCAATAGTTCGCTCAGCGCTGTACATTACAAAGGGGGACAGAACATGTGACAGAACAATACCAATACAATGCAAAACATGAGGGGATCGAGGGCCCTGCTCTTTCGAGCTTACAATCTAGGAGGGAGGGGGTGGTGGTACAGGAGAAGATAGCTGTGGGGGATGGAGTGGTAGGAACAGTGGAGGAGGTCGGCAAGTTAGCAAGGGGTGGGGTAGGCTTCCCTGAAGAGATGGGTTTTCAGGGTGCGCCTAAAGGAGAGGAGAGTAGGTGATAATCTGATGGGTTGGGGCAGGGAGTTCCAGAGGATGGGTGACACCCTGGAGAAGTCCTGGAGGCGGGCATGGGAGGAGGAGACCAGGGAACTAGAGAGAAGGAGGTCTTGTGAGGAGCGGAGTGTGCGTGTTGGGCGGTACTTGGATATTAGGTCAGTGATGTAGTTCGGGGCAGTATGGTGGACAGCTTTGTACGTCAGTGTTAGGATTTTGAATTTGATCCGTTGCGCAATCGGAAGCCAGTGGAGGGATTGGCAGAGGGGGGTGGCGGAGATGGAGCGGTTGGAAAGGTGAATGAGTCTGGCTGCCATATTCAGGATGGACTGAAGCGGGGATAGCCAGCGGCGAGGCAGGCCAGTGAGGAGGGAGTTGCAGTAGTCGAGTCGTGATATGATGAGGGAGTGGATGAGCTGTTTAGTGGTTTCTGGGGTTAGGAACGTGCGGATTTTGGCGATGTTGCGGAGGTGGAGTCTGCACGAGTTTGTTAAAGATTGGACTTGGGGCTGGAAGGATAGGTTGGAGTCCAGAATGACACCAAGTACTCTGGCCTGCGGGGCGGGTTTGATGGTGGTGTTGTTGGATGTGATAGAGAACACAAAACCCAACTACAGCAATTCAGGGCAACCAATGACTGACAGTACTTTCCAGTTCTGGTAAACAATCCTCAGCTCACATAGTGTCTTAATCCTTTTTTTTTTTTTTTTTTTTCTCAATCTATTTTTATTACATTTTTCATTAACAAAGAGACAGGGGTTGATTTACTAAAGGCAAATAGTCTGTGCACTGCAAGTGCAGTTGCTCTAAGATCTGAGGGGAAGTTCTGAAATGAAGGAAAGCTTTGCTGATTTTTATCGTCCAATCATGTGCAAGTAGTGCAATGCTGTTTTTGTTTTTATTTTCCTTGCATGTGATTGGGTATTCTTTGCCTAGTGAATCTTTTACCTCATTTACTAAGCTCTGGAGTAACTGCACTTGCAATGTGTAACGGAACCGACGCAGACTGCGCTTGAGTACTTCTGTTAGAATGCCGCTTCCCCGTCTGAACACCGACAACAGACACCACAGCCGACCATACAAGACTAGACGACACCAGTCTGTCTGAACATGAACTCTTTTTATTTTAAACTCAAATGGGCTTTTTATGTAATACACACTGAGACTGATCACATGATCATATGCAAACGCAGCTATTTACAGAAATAGACTTCACATTCTGAACAGTAAGTTAATTATGTTAGCTAGCTGGGTGGCCAAAAGAAAAGGTGAATGGGAATTCACACCTAGACAATGGTTTGATGAATTAGGATCTCACTACAGAGCAGACGGGCCGGCTCCTACACTGGAGGAGAGGAGAGGCCGGCGTGATCAGCTCTTTCAATTCACAGGTCTAGTTCAGAATCAACAACCAGTAATAGTCTTCATGTGGCTGATAAATATTACTGTCTCATCTGAAGTGATTCCAACCGCATTCTTAGCGTCCATTAGTCACCCTGTGCCCCTAAGAGACACAGGGTGACTTGCACATAAGAGGGATATGGGGAGCTTGACCGGGATCTCCCAACCTCAGCAAAGTGAGCTGGGTTCCATGAGCCCCCCACCCAAAGTGACTGCCGTCACACAGTGTACAGTATATTTGTCTGTAGTAAATCAACCCCATGGTATCTTAACCTCTTGGCGCCGGCTGAACACAAATGTGCGGCCTCCCGGCGTCTGGGCCTAGACGCCAAAGCGGCCGCACATTTCCGTTCTATTAAAAAAAAAAAAAAAAAAACGTGCTGAGAGTGCACACCGTGCGCGCTTCCAGCACACGTTTGGTACTCCCGAAAAGGTCCCGGAAAGATCGTCATGGAAACGGCATGACCCTTAACCCCGCCTCCCGCCTTCTGAAACCCTTAAAGGGCTGGGAGACGCCGGCGCCAAGGGGTTAATCTTAACACCTGTCTGACTCCACCGAAACCTGACGGTGTGATTGGAACAGATGAAGTATATTCTGGCTTCTTGCATCTCCAGCCCATATCCCCAGCAGAACTCCCAGTTCTCCCTGTGCCACCAGTTATGGTGGCACAGGACTTAAATGGTTGCTGCAGATGAATGCAGCATCAAACAAGGCCAGCTGCAAATGACCGCATTTTTATGACCTTGTTCAGGATCAGATGGCCAATCAACCCTAAATTAACCGTTTTTAGCGTGTTTTTGATCTATATTGCAAAAAAAAAAAAAAATCGAAAATATGATTTGCTCCATACTTCCCAGCCTCTTAAATCTTTTTAATCTTTTTTTGCCTTCAAAGGAAACTACTGTGTGTTTTTACACATTGAATTAGAACTAGAGTGGTTATCAGACTGGAATTCTGGATGTAAGCTTCATGGTTTACGTGTTTGTACTACATGTAGGGATCTGTAGGTCATGCTATCGGCATATATCTTGGACGACTGCTGTGATAAAGGATAAGCATGAAAAGGAGTTCGCTTTCAGTCTGTTTTTAATCTTTCTCTCTCACTGCTTGAGTCTGTCGGTCTTTTCAGAGATACTTTTGAAAGTGCCTGTGAATTTGATGTCGCGGTCTTTTAATTAAGCACATCAGCCTTTTGATTAAGCACTAATTAATTTTAGTCCTTTTTTTTTACTTCGATTTTCCTCATTTATTGTTTTGCATATTCAAAATCTGTTTTTTTGGCTGTAGACATTTGATGTGAGTTTTTTTTGTTTCTGGAGCCTGTTGAGAAGGAAAATGAAAAGCGCAGTAATTTTCTGTAGCCCCTCACCACCTCCCTTTTTTTTGTTTCTTTTTTGCAGCTGTCCACCAGGGGCCCACCATGTGGGCTGGCACAAACTCTGGCTCTGTCTTTGCCTACGCCTTGGAAGTCCCTTCGCGGGAGAAGTTCTCCGAGCGCTCAACGGAGGCTGTGCTGGGCAAAGAAATTCAGCTTATGCATCGGGCTCCTGTTGTCTCCATAGCAGTCCTGGATGGACGGGGCAACCCTCTCCCAGAACCGTTTGAGGTGTCGCGTGATCTGGCCAAAGCACCTGACATGCAAGGAACACACTCTGTACTGATTGCTTCGGAGGAGCAATTTAAGGTACGGCTTTTACAAAGCCAGTCCATATGCAGGTGATACTTGTACAGTAGATGTAGTTTGGTGGCACTACCAATGTAAGCAGGTCCTTTAATCACCACTGTGCAGGGGCACTACAGTTTTCATGTGTTTCTGTTTCTGCTTCAAATTTTTCTTCTATATTGTTACTGTAAATAATTTTGTTGCTTAGAGCAGTGTTTCTCAACCTCTTTTCAGTCAAGGCACCCTTTACTATCATGGACAGTCCCGAGGCACCCTTTACTATCGTGGACAGTCCCGAGGCACCCTTTACTATCATGGACAGTCCCGAGGCACCCTTTACTATCATGGACAGTCCCGAGGCACCCTTTACTATCATGGACAGTCCCGAGGCACCCTTTACTATCATGGACAGTCCCGAGGCACCCTTTACTATCATGGACAGTCCCGAGGCACCCTTTACTATCATGGACAGTCCCGAGGCACCCTTTACTATCATGGACAGTCCCGAGGCACCCTTTACTATCATGGACAGTCCCGAGGCACCCTTTACTATCATGGACAGTCCCGAGGCACCCTATTCTAAAATGTGAAAAACTACTCTAATAGTTTTCTATAACGCAGCAACATCCACACATGTAGGACACTCAACGTTAGAGGTGATTTATTCATCCAAAGCAAATACACTTTTGCACACTGGTACTGACTAGCATTCCCATGTTTCTCTCCTCCCTCAGTTTTTCTCCGTCACTGAGCTAATGTGACCGCAGCACTGATGGAGAGGGGCGGGGGAGGGTCAAACTAGGATGCTGTGCAGGCAGCTGACATCCTCCTTATCAACTGATGATGTCATTGGTTGTCAGGACGCTGGCGGCTAGAAGGTCGTAATGGTGCGCAATGAAAACCAGTGACTTTGTGTAATTAAAAGGCAGGCTTGTTCCAGCCACTGACTTGTATACAAGTTTTGGGCAATTTTTAGACATTTTGCCAAGGCACCCCTGAAGAAACCTCAAGGCACCCTGGTTAGGAAAGGCTGGCTTAGAGGATAGGCAGGTGTTTGTTTGCTCTGGGTGTCATGTATGCTAGGTATGCCATTGCTGTAGCTCATCTACCTAAAGCTAAACTGTCAGTCTGGGATGGATTGGTCCTTTGAGAAGCGAGATAAAAAGAACTGCAGTGTGGAATCTGTTCCTGGAATGACTGGAATCTGAAACTTTCAGCTTCATACTTCAGAAGAGCTTTTCAAGGGCCTCCAAGAATTCCTGGATTGATGGTACCATTCTGCCTGAGCAGGTTATCCTTTGTGCTTTCCTCTGTGTACATACAGCAATCCTCTACTCTCCTGGAACACTGAGCAGGGGTCCTCTCATATGAAAAATGTGCAGTCCGTGTGTTTTATATATAGGGGATGTGAAGGAAGGGACTAAATCCCAAACAAAACTGAAAATTAAAACTTGAAAGGCTTATTATTATTTTTTATTATTATTATTATACAGGATTTATATAGTTCTAACAGTTTGCTCAGCGCTTTAATATATAAAGGGAGACAATACAGTTCAATACAAGAGAGATAGGAGGCCCTGATCCTGGTAGCTTACAATCTAAGAGGGAGGGGCTAGTGGTACAAAAGGTAATAACTGTGGGGGGATGGATTGGTAGGAGGAATAGAAGATTCCATTATTAGCTGAGGGCTTAAATGATAACTTCACCTTTGGGAACATGTTGCATTTTCCATCCTAAAAACAGGTGGAACATGCAACATGTTCTCACTCCTGCAGCTCTCCCTCTGTATTTTCCCCTGTGACAGCAGGCTGGGAATCTTCTCCCCATACCCGCTATCACAAATTGAAACGAGTGCTGCCATGCGGGACTCTGCCCGCACGGTCCCATCATTTATTCACATAAGTCTATGAATGAATGGACTACAAGTACTGACACCTTTGTGGCTGATGGCTTGTAGTTCTGTGACGGCACTGGTGAATGCTGTGGCAGTCCATTGAGCCTCTGTCATTCAGCAATCTCCTGCCCATATCGAAGGTACAGGCAGACAGCTACACTGACACTCTGCAAGGTCCCGACATTGCACCCTCAATCTGCTTTACAGGCTCTTACAAAAAAAAAATGTAAATGCACTTATTTTACCTGTAAAAAAAGTGAATTTTTTTTTTTTTTTTAAAAGGTGAATTTATCCTTTAAAGGAAATGGGGCCTGGTTTCAGTTTTTCATTCAGCAGGAACTGTAGTGCAGGACCACCTTTTTGCTTACAGTTTCCTATAATTTGTTGTTTTGGGAACAGACGTGCCAGTGTACAAAGCTCCGTATGATCCCATGGAGATGGAATAACTTGAAGTCATATGACAAGAAGCTCGAGTGATCAGTATGTGTGTTGGAGTAAATGAATAATATATTATAACAAGATAACTTGCATACTTTTATTTAATTTCTTACATATGGTAAAACTTTTTTTTTTTTTCTTTTTTTTTTTCCTCTGTCCAGGTTTTCACTTTGCCCAAGGTTGGTGCCAAAACAAAATTCAAGTTGACTGCCCATGAAGGCTGCCGAGTGAGGAAAGTGGCACTAATTAACTTCACCAGCTCTGCATCTGATGATTATTCAGAGAACTGCCTGGCGTGTCTCACCAACCTTGGCGATATTCACGTGTTCAGTGTTCCCGGGTTGCGGCCGCAGGTGCGCTATGACTGCATTCGCAAAGAGGACATCAGCGGCATTGCGTCATGTGTTTTCACAAAATATGGACAAGGTGAGACTGAGCCGACTTCATGAAAATCCCATAGCAATGGTGCACAGATAAGTGGGGCAGGTGGGTTCTGGAACAATTACAGAATGAAAATTTAAAGGAAGGGGATTGTCTCAGATCAAAGGGCCACTTAAAGGATCAGTAACAAGCGTAGAGTCTTGTAACAAGCGTACAGGAAATATGCAGCCCTATCAATATGGTATGAACAAGCCCTAACACCAGAGAAATAGGAATCTTGAAGCAGTGGCACACAAACACGAATTTGAACAATCGCACACAACACTTGAAGTACAGAGAGAGGGTCTCACAATCAAGGCACACTAAATCTTGAAGGACGGGAATGTCTCAGAACAAAGTCATACTAATACTTGAAGGACGGGGAGGAACTGAGATTAACTTTCAGTGCCATAACCCTCAACATTTCGCTGCCGTGATCGCCAATGCAGGGGAAATAAAATTTCACTGCAATGACCTTTAATTGGGATGGGGGGTTAATTTCACTTCCAGCCAGTGACCACCAATGCTGGGGGGTGGGCTTTAAATGTCACTGCCAGTGACCACCATTGTTTGTGTGTGGTAGGGGAGGGCATTTACCAGCTCTTACATCAGTGTTGGAGGCTATTATTGCATCCACTGACACCAGAGCTGGGGGTCGTCATTGGGTCTACTGACACCATATTGGGGGTTATTTTGTCCACTGGCACAAATGCTGGGGGTTATCATTTCACTCACTGACCCCAATTCTAGGGGTTATTGTACTCCACTTTTTTTTCTTTTTTTTTTTGCGCACACATATCGTAATGCACGCTAAAGAAGTGTGAAAATACCTGCTATTGTGTGTCCCTCTGGAAGTAGTGCAGCCACACTTCAGGGTCCTCTATCATTTTCAAATGACCACCATTGACTCAGAATGTACATCCATACAATCAGTGAAGAATACTAAGCTATCCTTTTTTGTAGGGTTTTACCTCATCTCTCCATCAGAATTTGAACGGTTTTCCCTCAGTGCCAAGAACATCACAGAGCCAGTGTGTTTGATAGAGTTTGATAGGCCCCATGATCCTGGGTACCTCAGGTGAGGCGTTTGTATTCAATCTAGTCATCTTGTGTCACATTATTCTAAATACTTTGCATTGTTCTATATGGATGCTGACATTTTTATTGTACTACATTCAATTTATTTTAGCAATAAAGACACTTCATCAAAAATTAACCAAGCCAATGGCACCCACATCCACCGAGAGTGTGATGGAAACCAGCTGGTAACTGAAGGTAAGAGAGGCTGTGGTTACACTGCTGCTGTACAGAAAATCAGAGATGGAATGTTTCTCTGCTGCAATAGGTTTCATGTATAAAAGGGACTAAAAGCTTCCTAGAAAATGATCAGAGTAAGAGTCACAACATATCCATGAGCTGGCTATGTCCAGATTCAGCCAGTCTGCTGCTTCTTAGGAATTTAAAGGGTTTGTTCACTTTAAAACAAAACAAAACTGCCTATGCTGGCATGGAAACCTGTAGATAAAAACAAACTGCAAAGGAATTGAATAATGTTCTTGTTATAGGTTTTGGCCATTTACGGACTCCCAAATCCTGGCGGAAAAAACTCAGAGGTGGCATCCCTTGTCCTGCCTCGTTGCTAGGATGTTGCTAAGACACACCCAGTCATTATTGCTCACCCCTACCATCACAGGAACAAGCTCTTACTTGGATGCAAAAAATTTGGCATGCTCTCTCTCTTCCCCATCACAGTAGCAATGAGCACAGCAATACTGTGATGGAGGAAATGGCTGACCACACATGTGCGGGGGTTTGAGAACTCACTCCTGTGATGGGTTCTTGTTAATCAAATGTACCAAGGGAAGGTGCAGAGTATAAGTTAATAAATACAACTAAAACATCATAGTCCTCAATCTGTTTAAAATCATAAACATCAATCAAAGCAATAGTATGAATAAACATATATGTCCCAATGGATAAACTCTGTAGCGTGAAGGTGATATTCAAGATCCAACAGGTTGTGCGCATAAATACTGGAATCAACCATAAAGTGGGAAGTGCTTATCATCCGGTGGTGTGTGATAGATTAGTGGGATTGCAAACTCACCAGAAGCGCACTCTTAATGCACATTAGCCAATGTTTGCCAGCCTTGAGATCTCCCTTCAATGGAACCTGGTCTGGAAAATCTTTCCCTCTGATGGTATGGGCGCTTAGGTGAGGTCAAGCAGAGGTCCCTCTCATGGGTGGTCTGGTCATGACATGGTTTTCTTCAGTCCTGCCATTCATGTTCCCCTCCCCTCAGCTCAGGTGGGTTCTTAGTAATGTCCTAGCAATAAGGCAGGATGGGATGATGCCATCTCTGGGAGTTTTTCAGGCAGGCTTTGGGAGATACATAGATGGCCTACACCTATGGTAAGGGTATTATCCAACGATAGTGAAAGCTGCATATTCTGTTTTTACCTGAATAGGCAGTTTTTTTTTAAAGGTGAACCAACCTTTACATTTCCTGCATGTGACTAGGGGAGGGTTTAACTCTGTACTACCTCTGCCTGGAAAAACTGGCTCGAGGCCTATTCCTCTCACAGATCCCGCTCATAGCAGGCTTTTATGAGAAAAGACAAGGGGGGACTAAAGTATATCTAAGCCAAAAATGTAATTCTGGATTGGACATGGCAGAGTTAGATCTTTATTCAGGTTTTTACTGCTGTCTTGTGTTCCAGCTGGGGAGATTCAGCCTACTTACCATAGTGACCATTGTCGCTGAGAATGAAAGTGAGGGAATCTCCAAAATTGAGTTATCACCAGAACAGCAGATGA